TCTGCGAAGTAAACTTTTAGCGTACCATAGGTAAGTTACGATGTTGCGAGATGTGTCATAAACAGAATCGTTGAGCGTTGCGATAGTGGATAAGGATTCATTCCATACATGCGACAGAAGAGAAGATAGCGAGTTTGTCCCGCATGATATGTCCGTCGTGTACCTGGTGCAATGCTCAGGTTGATGTAGTGGCAGGCTTGTTTTGTGAGGTTGACGGGACTACGTCGCACATCGGAGCCGTTAAGAGGGTGCACAGGTTCGGAGTTTTGGTTGGAACCCTGTCTGCCTGAGGGGGTGTGTAACTGATTTTCGCACAATACTGTACCCGTAAACACCCTCTAGTTCACAAATCATAAATTGTAAGCAATTAAAATTTACAAAATTCTTCTGATTTTTTTTTTTTCAATCAAGAAAGTTTGTGATCAAGTTCACTCACAACATTCAACATATCATTCAGAACGCAAGAGATAACTTATTTAAAATGCGTCTTGCTCATACTTAAAACTAGAAAAATGTTACGATCCAGTGTTTGCTTCATGATTTAGATTTTTGTGTCAGGTTTTAACCTTTGTCTCACAAAAATACGAATGACAATTTAAAAATTTTAAATAAAAATGCATTTAAAAAAAATTTCTGCAATTTCTTTCTCAATTTTGAAATAAATGTAAACAATTTTTCAGTATCTGAATAAACTTACCAAGATGTTCCAATGCACTCAGTAAATCAGACATTTGTTTAATCTTTTTCAAATAGTCTAAAGCTGACGTTGTACGATTAGACAGTTTATCTTCTTCTTTAGCTTTCAGATTAGCAGCTGTAAGGTTTCGTCTTATGCGAATAATTTTCTTGCTTTTTAACTGTGATCTTAGTAGACGTCCCCTCCACATTGCCTGGTGAATAAACAAATAATATGAATAAATTTCATTGACGTATCAGAATAGCATAAATCAAGTCAGGACAAAATGCAGAAAACATCAGACCATTAAATTGTTAACCGCATTCTGATTATGAACAGCTTCCCTATTCGAGAGTTCTGAATAACAGTGTTTATAACAACAATTCAAAATATGCAAATGTCTTGGTTACACCACTAGATCTAATGTTTCGATTGTGAAATCCATTCAAACAAACCTGGTAATTAGTGTCATTTTGAATTAAGAACAAGCGCTAATCCACTTTGACACTGTTTTAGTAATTCATCAAAGAGCATGCTTTTTAAAAAATAAATACCAGTACAGCAAGTCTCAGAAGTATTGGGGCAGCCAATTTGTAAACTCGCTAGCGAATTGGCTAACTGCTTTGGTTTTGACTAAATAGTTGGCTTTCGAATCGCGCTGGCGCCAACTTGTGGTGAATCGCTAGAGACACTAGTGTCAGACATGTTGGTTTTGAAAATAGTGACCTCGGATGTCAATGGTGCTAAATGACCTAGGGTTATATAGGTACTACCCTAACTGCACCCCAATTTTGTGCAATATTGTAATAAAAAAAACGTGGCTAGTAAAAGGATCTAAACGATAACTAATATCTCGTCCAGGATTTGAAAAAAAAAGGAAAATTCCTTCATCCCTCTCAAAAAAGGTGGCTTGTCTTTCTTAGTGTTAGTAAAAGCGGCAGTTACCTGTAGTAATGTGATAGACTGACGCCTTTTGTCTGCATACTTCTTAGCTAAGTACATACGCACATAACTCTGTATCACAGTAACAGACCGCAGCCGCTTTTCCTGCTGTCGCCGTTCAATCTTCTTTCGGAAACATCTCTGAAAATTGTGAAAAATAAGAACAAGGTTTTGAAATTTTTCGCTTTACACATTTCATACATTTTTCTGAAACAGCTGATAATTTTGCGAAACTGATGCAAATTAGTATTACCCCGGTAAGTGGATATTATTACTCAAGAACAGCAAATGAACATTTACTATGAATAGACTAAAATTACATTATGCAAATAAGTGCTCAACAGAAAAAATCATATACTGTAGAAGTAGAAATTATTCGTGTGGTTTTAATTTAAAAAAATAAAAAAATACATATTAAATTAAATATGCTGAGTATTTGTTGTCATCAGGTGAATTTTTTTTTGATGCACCACTGATCTTTTCGTATGGCCAGAACGGCAAAAACGATGTTGGTTATATGGTCATTTTGCCTTTGAACGCTTATGTTTATTAAGGGATGATACTTTTTGTATAACTTTCTAGACCGTCTGGAAACACGTTATTTACCTATTATTTAAAATAAAGGATACAGTAAATAGGTGTCACACTGCAATGAGCTGCAAATAATTATAGCCAATAGGAAATTATGCTTATTTGGGTAAAAATTTTCAAATTACTCACAAAAAATTCAATATAAGCAAAATTTTACACCTAAATTACAGTGCACCAAAGTCTACATTCACAAAATTAAATTTGCTAAAATTATTCAAATTTTTTTGGTCCAAAATTAACAAAGTACATGTAGTTCTGAAAACATGTGCATCAACAATGAGTTGCAAAAAATATGGCTTTCAAAGGAACACGGTAGTAGTAGAAATTTTATACAGTTTGCTGGCTTGCAGATTGTAAATGCACTCAAATTTTACAGTTTACGACATACAATATCTAGATATACACATTACCTGAAGAGTAATAATAGAGTTCAACTGTTGTTTCGCAAGCTTGCGTGTTCTGGCATTGCGATAGGCTCTTTGTATTTTGATGGCACACATATGGAGGTATACAGCTGCCGAGAACTGCATCAATCTCGCCTTTTCTGCTTCTCTCAAAGCCTGAAATTAAAAAAGTGAAAAAGTTATGATGTAATAAATTATGACATACATGTACAAATATTTATGTCAAGTTCATTCAGAAATGGAAGTCTACTGAAAGTCAAACCTGTGTATAGCAGCCATCCAAGGGATAGTCAAACCTGTGTATAGTGACCACCCAAGGAAGTCAAACCTGTGTATAGCAACCACCCAAGGCACAGTCAAACCCGTTTATAGCAACCACCCAAGGGACAGTCAAACCTATGTCTAGCAACCACACAAAGGACAGTCAAACCTGTGTATAGTGACCACCCAAAGAAGTCAAACCTGTGTATAGCAACCACCCAAGGCACAGTCAAACCCGTTTATAGCAACCACCCAAGGGACAGTCAAACCTGTGTATAGTGACCACCCAAGGCAGTCAAACCCGTTTATAGCAACCACCCAAGGGACAGTCAAACCTATGTCTAGCAACCACACAAAGGACAGTCAAACCTGTGTATAGCAACCACCCAAGGGGCAGTCAAACCTGTGTATTGTGACCACCCAAGGCACAGTCAAACCTGTGTATTGTGACTACCCAAGGGACAGTCAAACCTGTGTATAGCAACCACCCAAAGGACAGTCAAACCTGTGTATTGTGACTACCCAAGGCACAATCAAACCTGTGTTTAGTGACCACCCAAGGCACAGTCAAACCTGTGTATAGCAACCACCCAAAGGACAGTCAAACCTGTGTATTGTGACTACCCAAGGCACAGTCAAACCTGTGTATAGCAACCACCCAAGGCACAGTCAAACCTATGTATTGTGACCACCCAAAGGACAGTTAAACCTGTGTATTGTGTCTACCCAAGGCACAATCAAACCTGTGTGTTGTGACCACCCAAGGTACAGTCAAACCTGTGTATAGCAACCACCCAAGGGATAGTCAAACCTATGTAT